CCTCTAGGATTTTGGTATTTTCCTGTCTCACATTTAGGTCTTTCATCTATTTTGAATTTATTTTTTTGTATGGTGTAAGAATCAGTAATCAAAAATCTTCCAACAAACAAGAGTCCTGGGCCAGATAGCTTACCAGGGGGAATTCTACCATATATTTATTTATTTATTTTCTAATTTTTTTTTTTAACGTTTATTTATTTTTGAGAGAGAGAGAGACAGAGCATGAACGGGGGAGGGTCAGAGAGAGGGAGACACAGAATCTGAAACAGGCTCCAGGCTCTGAGCTGTCAGCACAGAGCCGATGCGGGGCTCGAACTCACTGACCGCGAGATCATGACCTGAGCCGAAGTCGGCCGCTTAACCGACTGAGCCACCCAGGCACCCCTCTACCATATATTTAAAGAAGAGTTAATACCTATTCTTCTCAAACTGTACCAAAAAACAGAAATAGAAATCTTCCAAACTCATTCTATGAAGCCAGCATTACCTTTTTTCCAAAACCAGACTAAGACTCCACTAAAAATGAGAATTATTGGCCAATATAATATCCCTGATGAACCTGGATGGCAAAAATTCTCAACAAGATACTAGCAAATCAAATTCAAGAGTACATTAAAAGAATTACCATGATCAAATGGGATTTATTTCTGGGCTGCAGGGCTGGTTTGGTATTCACAAATCAATTAATGTGATACACCACATTAATAAAAGAAAGGATAAGAACCATATGATCCTGTCAATAGATGCAGAAAAAGCATTTGACAAAAATACAGCATCTATTCTTTTTTTAAAAAGTTTTTTAAATGTTTATTTTTGAGAGAGAGAGAGAGAGAGAGAGAGAGAGACAGAGCATGAGTGGGGGATGGGCAGAGGGAGAAGGAGACACAGAGTCTGAAGCAGGCTCCAGGCTCTGAGCTCTCAGCATAGACCTTGATATGGGGCTTGAACCCACGAATGGTGAGATCATGACCTTAGCTGAAGTCAGATGCTTAACTGAGTGAGCCACCCAGGTGCCCCCAGCATCCATTCTTAATAAAAACTGTCAACAAAGTGGGGATCACTGGAATACACCTCAACATCATAAAGGCCATATATGAAAGACCCACAACTCATATCATCCTCAATGGGGAAAACCTGAAGAATGGACCTAGAATGTATTATGCTAAGCTCAAGCCTTTCCCCTATAGTCAGGAACAAGACAAGGATGTCCACCCTCACCATTACTATTTAACATAGTACTGGAAGTCTTAGCCTCAGCAATCAGGCAACAAAAAGAAATAAAGGGCATACAAATTGGCAAAAAAGAAGTCATACTTCCACTATTTGCAGGTGACATGATACTCTATGTAGAAAACCAAAGACTCCACCAAAAAATTGCTAATACATAAATTCAGCAAAGTCACAGGATATAAAGTCAACGTGCAGAAATCTGTTGCATTTCTATCACCATTAAGCAGCGGAAAGAGAAATCAAGGAATCAATCCCATTAACAATGCACCAAAAACAGTAAGATACCTTGGAATAAACCTTACTAAAGAGATAAAAGGTCTGTACTCTGAAAATATAGATTTATGAAAGAAATTAAAGAGGACAAAACGAAATGGAAAAGCAATCCATGATCATGGATTAGAAGAACAAACTTTGTTAAAATGTCTACACTACTCAGTGCAATCTACACATTAAATGCAATCCCTATCAAAATAACACCAACATTCTTCACAGAGTTAGAAAAAACAATCCTGAAATTTGTATGGAACCACAAAGACCCAGAATAGCCAAAGCAGTCTTGAAAAAGAAAAAACTGGAGGCATTGTGATTCTGGATTTCAAGCTATATTACAAAGCAGTAGTGATTAAGACAGTATGGTACTGGCACAAAAACAGATGGAAACAAGAGAACAGAATAGAACAGATGGAAACAATGGAACAAAATAGAAAACCCAGAAATGGACCCACAGCTATACAGCCAACTCATCTTTGACAAAGCAGGAAAGAGTATCCGATGGAAAAAAAGACTGTCTCTTCAAATGGTGTTGGGAAAACTGGATGGTGACATGGAGAAGAATGAAACTAGACCACTTTCTTATACCATACACAAAAATATTATTACTTTCTAATTTCATTCCATTGTGATCAGAAAAGATATTTAAAATGATTCCGGTCTTTTTAAATTTGTTAAGACCTGTTTTGTGAACTAGTATGTGATCTATCATGGAGAATGTTTCATGTGCACTTGAGAAGAATGAGTATTTTGTTTTGGGGTGGAGTGTTCTATATATGTTCAGTTTCCATTTTGTCTATAGTGTCATTCAGTTCTGCTGTGTTACTGAATTTTTGTGTGTGTAGATGATCTATCCATTATAAAGAGGTGGGTATTGAACTATACTACTATTTTATTACTGTCTACCTCTCTTTTCATATCTGTAAATGTTTGCTTTATATGTTAATATGTATTGACAGGTATATAGTTGATGTTGCGCGCATGTTTATTTATAATGGTTAAATCTTCCTGGTAAATTGACTTTTTTATTGTTATGTAATGTCCTTTGTCTCATGATAGTTTATCAGTTAAAGTCTCTTTTGTCTACTGTAATGACTCCTCTCTTTTGGTTACCTTTAGCCACCCTTGTACTTTCAGGCTATGTGTATTTTTAAATCTAAAGTGAGTCCCTTGTAGACAGCATATAGTTGAGTCTTTTTAAATTTTTTAATCCATTCAGCCATACTATCTTTTGATTGAGGAATTTAATCCATTTACATTTAAAGTAATTACTGTGATAGGAAAAGACTTAATATAACTATTTAATTAACTGTTTTCTGTTTTGTAGTGATTTTGTTTCTTCTTCAACTTGTCTTTCTTTATTTGATGATTGCAGCAGCAGCAGCAGTATGCTTTGATTCTTCTCTCTTTATCTTTGGTGTATCTATTGTGCCTTTTGTTTTTGTAGTTACCACTGGGCTCACATCAAACATTTTCTAGTTAAGGCAGTCTGTTTTAAGCTAATAACAATTTAATTTTACTTATGTGCAGAATGTGTACATTTCTCTCACATAAACTTTGAGTTGATTCTAGATTTTACTTCTTTCTATGTTGTGTTCCATTTTAGTGGTGATAGTTATTCTTAGTACGTTGGTCTTAATTTTTGTATACTAGTGTTAAAAGTGATTTACATGCCACTATTAAAGTATATCCTTTAACAGTGACAGTTCATATGCTTTTATGTTATTGTTTACTTTTTTTTGTTTGTTTCAAACTGAACTCCCTTTAGTTTTTATTGTAAGGCACATCTAGCATAATGTACTCCCTCAGGTTTTGTTTGTATGGGAGACTCTCTCCTTTATTCTTAAAATACAGTTTTGTCAGGTAAAGTATTCTTGGTTTGTACTTTTTTTTGTTTCAGTGCTTTGAATATATCATCCTGCCCCCCCCTTTTTTTAGAAAAAGTTTTAATGTATATTTATTTTTGAGAGAGAGAGAGAAAGAGTGTGAGTAGGAGAGGGGCAGAGAGAGAGGGAAACACAGAATCTGAAGCAGGATCCAGGCTCCAAGCTGTCAGCACAGAGCCTGACATGGCTGAACTCACCGTGAGATTATCACCTGAGCTGAAGTTGTACACTTAACCGACTGAGCCACCCAGGCACCCTTCATCCCTCTCTCTTTTGACTTACACAGTTTCTGTGGAGAAATCCACTGATAGTCTTAGGTGCTATTCCTTGTTATAGTCCCTTGGTGTGACAAGTCATTTTCTTTTGCTGCTGTGAAAATGTTTTCTTTTTACTTTAGACAATTTACTTGAACCTCTTTGGGAACTTTTGGGCTTCACAAATTTGGATGTTCATTTTCCTGCTTATATTTGAGATGTTTCAACCACTGTTTCTTTAACTTTTTGGTCTCTCTCTCTCTCTCCTTCTGGGACACCTATAGTGTGAGTATTCGTTCTTTTGGGGTATCATATTAAGTCCCATAGAGTTTCTTCACTTTTTCACTTATGTTTATTTTTGAGAGAGAGTGGGAGTGGGGGGGGCACAGAGGTTCTGAAGTGGGCTGCATACCAACAACAGAGCGCCTGATGTGGGGATCGAACTCATGAACCATGAGATCATGACCTGAGCTGAAGTTAGACGCTTAACTGAATGAGCCACCCAGGCACCCCTCATTCTTTTCTTTTTTGTTCTTTTAAATTTGGAATTTCAAATGACTTGTCTTTGAGTTTGTTGGGGTTTTTCCTGCTTAATTGATTCTGCTGTTGAAGTTAATGGAATTTTTAGTTTTATCATTATATTCTTCAGCTCCAGATTTCTGTTTTTTTTTTTTTAATAGGTTGGTTTTTGTTTGTTTTTGAGCTTCATCATTTTGTTCAAGTATTGTTTTCCTAATTTTCTTTAGTTATCTGTGTTCTCTTTTAGCTCATTGAACTTTTTTCCTTTTAAATTTTTATTTATTTTGAGAGAGGAAGCGAGTGGGGTTGGGGCAGAGAGAGAGGGAGAGAGAGAATCCAAGCAGGCTCCACACTGTCAGTGCAGAGCCCGATGCAGGCCTCAATCTCATGAACTGTGAGATCATGACCTGAGCTGAAATCAAGAGTCAGAGGCTTAACTGACAGAGCCACCAAGGTGTTCCTCACTGGGCCCCCTATCTATCTATCTATCTACCTACCTACCTACCTACCTACCTATCCATCTATTTACATTGAGCTTTGTAAAGATGATTTTATTTGGAATTCTTTGTCAAGCAGTGTGTGGATTTCCATTTCTTTGGCACTGGTTACTAGAACTTTTGTTTCCTTTGGTGGTACTGTGCCCACTTCTTTGTGACTTTATAGCCTTGCACTGGTGTCTGTGAAACTAAAGGAGCAGGGACCTCTTCCATTCTTTACAGAGTGTTTTTGGCAGGTAAAGACCTACTCCTGCAGGTCCCCAGATAGACAAGCCTGCCTCCAGGATTGCAGTGGAGCAGAACCAGGGCCAGGTCATGGGGCTACTTCCTGGTCTACAGTTAGGTTACTGGTTGGCTGATTTATCATTGGGGGCATCATCAGGCATAGCTTGTGCTGCTTGCCCAGGTGGAAAGGCTACTTCTGAGTCCACAGTTAGCCTGCCTATTACTTGGGACATAGATTGGCATGTCTCTTCCCAGGTCCCTAGGTGGACCAGACTGGCTGTGGGATCACAGTTGAGCAGTTGGAACTGAATATGGGGTTGCTTCTAGGTTTGCAGTTGGGTCTGTAGTCAGTGGGCCTATTAGTGGGGTTACAGGCACATGACATTCCTGCCAGGCCCGCTAGTGTAGATCCATGTATATGGGGTGATAGAGCTGCTCCTAGGTCTGTGGTCAGGTCCTGGGGCAGGTGTATGCTTTCTCAGAGAGTCCTCTGTCTTGGGCTCCATTGTGCTCTTGCAACTTTCTTCCTGGATTTTGAAGCCCCCACAATGGTACTTATGTTTGTGGATAGTTGCCAAATTGGTGTTTATGGGGAGGGGGGAATGAGGGCTGGAGACCTATTTTGCCATCTTGCTAGTAACCATCAACTAGCTGCTGGCCTTGTTGAATACTATAAACTCCACATTTTTCTTCAAATTCAAAAGAAACAAAATTGGAAAATGCCATTTCTTTCCTACATAGAATCATGTATCTTTAAACTACTAATGCCAAAAACATAGCTCTAAATTGTTTATTCAACTGTTCATCCTTCATGAGAACCATTCCATTGAAACTTTTATTTTCTAGATGAGGACAACAAAAGAATTGAAGTAATAGTATTTTGGGTTGGGGTTGGGACCATACATAGGCCTTGTGGCATATCCTTGGTAGACCTCAGTTTATAAAACAACAGCAGTAAAGTAAGTGCTATATGCCTGGCACTATACCATACTTCTTAAAAGTTCTTTTTCCTTCCTGTCCACTTGCCTCAGAAGTTGCTCTTATGCACTTCTTTCTCTGGGCAATGTAGGAAGAAAACCCCCAAAAACGTCATAAAAAGTCTCTTAACTCCACATGCCTCTCTTGTCCTTCTCCATATCCTTTTTTTGTTCCAACTTCGGCATTTCAAAGTTTCAAAGACTTTAGTTAAGCAGAAATGACCCATTTTCAGGGAGAAAGGTAAGAAAATAAATAGGCCAAACTAAGATTCATCTTTAGGGGATAGTGAAAAGGGAACATAGTGTGAACATTCAAATATTAACTACTTTTGTCTCTTCACACACAGTCAACTATGTGTTATTTGTACTTTCTTTTTCTATAAATGCTCACACAGTTTCTTCTACATGTTGAAATTCTTTGAAGGCCATCTGCTCAGCTGAATATCTTGGCTAGAAGTGATTGCTCTATTACCTCCTCATGCTTATTTGGGGTAGCACTTGTAGTCTAACTTACTGTGTACATTTCTTTCTTACTAAATTAGGTAAGAATGAAGCCATTTTTCTCAGTGACCTTCAGAATCTGTCTTATCAAATTGTAATCTCTAAGCCAGAAGTATACACATCACTGGCAGCTTGTTGGAAGGTCAGAATCATGGGCTCTACTCAAGACCTATTCAGTGAGAACCAACATTTTAAGAAGATCCCCACATTTATTTGTATACTCATTATAATTAAGCCTTTGTTAAAATAAGCTGACTTAGTATTTTACACTATATTTACCAAGAACTGTCTTATAACACACCAACTAGAAATGCTCAGGGATTTCTTAGTTTTATTCATTTACTGGAAGCTCTTGCCAGCCACAATATTGTTATTCTGTTATGCTTTAAATACTTTGAGTAACTTGGATACCATTACCTTCTTCATTACAGGTCTTAGTCATCAAAGATTCAGCACAGTTGTCTTTTTCAAGTTCATTTCTTCTGTCAAGTACTTGTCTGTTGTTTTTTTTAATTGGAAAAAGGATTAAAAAGAAAATTATAGGGTTAAAATGTCATAGAATTTTTTCAATTTTCCCATCATTAAATAATTTACAGGACATTTTTGAAGAGCAATTAAATTCAAGTTTAAGATACAAATAAAATATTTTACATACACAATTTTCAAAAGAAGTAGTGGAAACAAAATGTGACATTCTACTGGGGTATTACAGGATTAGAATGGATGGTAAAAATTTCCTATTAAATACATTTTATTTTCCTTATTTTAAAAGTAATTTATTACTACAGAAAAATTAAAAAAAAACACAAAGAAAAAAACAATAACATAATTCAGATTTCCAGAGTTCTCATCTGGATAATTAGCTTCTATATGCAAGCATCTTTAAAAAAAATTTTTTTTAATGTTTATTCATTTTTGAGAGAGAAAGAGAGAGCGTGCGAGCTGGGGAAGAGGCAGAGAGAGGGAGAATCCAAAACAGGCTCCAGGCTCTAGGCTCTGAGCTGCCGGCACAGAGCCCGACGCAGGGCTCAAACTCACAAGCCATGAGATCATGACCTGAGTCGAAGTCGGACACCCAACCAACTGAGCCACCCAGGTGCCCCAAGCATCTTTTTAAACAAAGCTGAGATAACACTATCTTATAAAATTTTATATAGCTCTCATACAGTTTTTGTTACATTTTGTATGTAAATTATGGACTATTTTTTTAAAAAAGGACTTTTAAAGATGTAGATTTTAGGGGTGCTGGGTGGCTCAGTCGGTTGAGCATCTGACTTTAGCTCAGGTCATAATCTCATGGTTTGTGAGTTCAAGCCCCGCCTGGGGCTCTGTGCTGACAGCTCGGAGCCTGGAGCCTGCTTCAGATTCTGTGCCTCCCTCTCTCCCTGCTCCTCCCCTGCTTGAGCTCTCTCTCTCTCTCTCTCAAAAAAATAAAATAAACATTAAAAAAAAAAAGATGTAGATTTTAGGGGCACCTGGCTGGCTCAGTCAGAAGAGCATGTGACTCTTTTTGTTTTTTTTTTTTTTAAAGTTTATTTATTTGAAAGGGGGACTGGCAGACAGAGGGAGAGAAGAATCCCAATCAGGCTCTGCACAGTCAGCACAGAGCCCATTGTAGGGCCGGAACTCACAGACCATGAGATCATGACCTGAGCAAAGATCAAGAGTCAGAGCTTAACTGATTAAGCCACCCAGGCACCCCAGAGCATGGGACTCTTGGTCTTAGGGTCATGAGTTTGAGCCCCACATTGGATGTAGAGATGACTTAAAAATCTTTAAAAGAAAGATGTAGATTCTATGAATTTAACAGATGTATAGATTTGTGTTACTGCTATCACAATCAGAATAAAAATAGTTTCAGCATGTGAAAAAAAAACTCCCTCATACCTAACAGTCACACTTTCACCTCTATTAGTAAGCCTAGGAACCACTAATTTTGCTAGCTTATTATTTCATGTTCTTAACAGTATCCTTTGAAGAGCAAAAGTTGATGAAGTCTAGCTTGTCAAATTTGTTTTTTTATGGATTGTACTTTTAGTGTCAGTTCTGAGAATTCTTAGACTAATACCAGATCATGAAGATTTACTTAAATGTTTTCTTTTAAAAGTGTTATAGTTTTACATTTTATATTTCGATGTATGATACATTTAGGGTTAATTTTTTAATAAGGTGTGAGGTTTACTTTGGGGCTCATTGCTTTTATACATAAGATGTCCAGTTGTTGTAATACCGTTTATTGAAGAGTATTCTTACTCCACTGAATTGCATTTGTACGTCTGTCAGAAATCAATGGGGCATATTGCATAGGTTTATTTCTGGATTCTCTGTTCAGTTTTATTCTGTCAATCTGTCCTTTTGCTAATACCACGATTTTTTGATTAGTATAGATTTAGAGAAGGGCATGGCAAACCATAGTCCATGGGAAATTAAAGTGATGCCCATTTTTGTAGATAAAGTTTTATTGGAACACACCCACTCCCATTTATTTCCATAATATCAATGGCTGCTGTTTTATTTTAACAGCAGACTTAAGTAGCTGTGACAGGGATTGTATGATTTGCAAAACCTAAAACATTTACTAAATGACCCTTTATAGAAAGTGTTTGCTAGTTCTTGCTTTAGAAAAAGTCTTAAGATCATGCATGATTTTTCCAACATTATTTCTCTTCTTCAAAATTGTTTTCAGTATTCTAATTTCTTTGTCCTTTTATATAAGTTTTAGAATCAGCTTGTCCATATCTACACAGAATCTTTCTGGGATTTTGATTAGAATTGTTTTAAAACTTTAGATCAATCAGAAGACAACTGGTATGTGTACCTTATTGAGTTTTTCAGTCCATAAACATGGTATGTGTCTCCATTTATTGTGGTCTTCTTTGATTAGTGTAAGCAGTATTTGAACCATACTTTAAAACTCTCTCAAAACAAAGTCCAGGAACAGATGGCTTCACATTTGAATTCTACAAAACCTTTACTTTTTCCCCCAAGTTTTATTTAAATTCCAGCTAGTAAAAATATAGTGCAATATTTGTTTCGGGTACAGAATTTAGTGATTCATCACTTATATACGACACCAATGCTCATCACAAGTGCCCTCCTTAATACACATCACCTCTTTAATCCATCCCTTTGTCCACCTAGTAACCATCAATTTGTTCTCTCTAGTTAAGAGTCTGTTTATTGGTTTGCCTCTCTTTTTTTCCCCGTGTTCATTTGTTTTGTTGCTTAAATCCACATAAGAGTAAAATCATATGGTATTTGTCTTTCTCTGATTTGTTTTGCTTAGCATAGTACTCTCTAGCTTTATTCACATGGTTGCAAATGGCCAGATTTCATTCTCATTTATAGCTGAGTAATATTCTATTGTATATATATGCCACTACTTCTTCATCAGGTGAAGGACATTTGGGCTCTTTCCATAATTTGGTTATTGTTGATAATGCTGCCAGAAACATCGGGGTGTATGTATCCCTTTGAATTAGTATGTTTTTATCCTTTGGGTAAATACCTAATAGTACAATTGCTGGATCATTTGGCAGTTCTATTTTTAACTTTCTGAGGAATCTCCATACTGTTTTCCAGAGTGGATGTACCAGTTTGCATTCCCAACAGTGTGGAAGGTTCCCCTTCTCCACATCCCCACCAGCATCTGTTGTTTGATGAGTTGTTCATTTTAGCCATTCGGACAGGTGTGAGGTATGTGTGGTTTTGATTTGTATTTCTCTGATGATGAGTGATGTTGAGTACCTTTTCGTGTGTCAGCCATCTGTATATCCTCTTTGGAAACATGCCTGTTCATGTCTTCTGCCCATTTCTTAAACTGGATTGTTCTTTGGGCGTTGAATTTTGTAAGTTCTTTATAAATGTTGGATATTAACTTTTTATCAAGTATGTCATTTGCAAATACCTTTTCCCATTCCATAGGTTGCCTTTTAGTTTTGTTGATTGTTTCCTTTGCTGTGCATAACATTTTATTTTCATGAAGTCCCAGTAGTTTATTTTTGCTTTTTTTCCTTGCCTCAGAAGACCTATCTAGTAGGAAGTTGCTATGGCCAGTGTCAAGAGGTTATTGGCTGTGTTCTTCTGTAGGATTTTAATGGTTACCTGTCTGACATTTAGGTTTCTCATCCATTTTGAATTTATTTTTCTGTATGGTGTAAGAAAGCAGTCCAGTTTCATTTTCCTGGATGTTCTTGTCCAGTTTTCCCTAAACCATTTGTTGAAGAGACTCTCTTTTTTCCATTGGATATTCTTTCCTCCTTTGTTGAAGATTAATTGACCTTGACCATATAGTGGTGAGTTCATTTCTGGGGTGTCTATTCTGTCCTGTTTTGTGCCAGTCTGTTTTTGTTGCCAGTACCATACCACACTGTCTTGATCACTACAGCTTTGTAATATAACGTGAAATCTGAAATTTGTGATGCCTCCATCTTGGCTTTTCTTTTTCAAGAGTGCTTTGGCTATTCTGGGTTCTTTTGTGGTGCCATATAAATTTTAGGATTGTTTGTTCTAGTTCTGTGAAAAATGCTGTTGGTATTGTGACAGGGATGGCATTAAAACTGTAGATTGCTTTGGGTAATAGAGACATTTTAACAATATTTGTTCTTCCAATTCATGAGTGTGGAATGTTTTCCCATTTCTATGTCATCTTCAGTTTCTTTCATTAGTGTTTTACAGTTTTCAGAGTCCAGATCTTTTACCTCTTTGGTTAGGTTTATTCCTAGGTATCTTGTAGGTTTTGGTACAAGTGTAAGTGGGATTGGTTCCTTGTTTTCTCTTTCTGCTGCTTCATTATAGTATCTAGAAATGCAACAGATTTCTGTACATTGATTCTGTGTCCTGTGACTTCACAGAATTCATGTACCACTTATAGCAATTTTTTTGGCCGAGTCTCTTGGGTTTACCATATACAGTATCATGTCATCTGCAGACAGTTAAAGTTTGACTTCTTCCTTTCTAATTTGGATGCCTTTTATTTATTTTGTTGTCTGATTGCTGAGGCTAGGACTTCCAGTACTATGTTAAAAAGTAACAGTGAGAATAGACATCCTTGCCTTGTTCCTGACTGTGTAAGGGAAAAGCTCTCATTTTTTCCCCATTGAGGATGATATTAGCTGTGAGTTTTTCATCTATGGCCTTTATGATGTTGAGGTAGTTCCCTCTAACCATACTTTGCTGAGGTTTTTTGTTTATTGTTTTTGTTTTTTTCTTATCATGTATAGATGTTGTATTTTGTCAAATGCCTTTTCTGCATCTGTTGAAAGGACTGTATGATTCTTATCCTTTATTTTTATTAATGTGGTGTAGTGAACTACACTTGTAGCCCCGGAATAAATCCCACTTGATTATGATGAATGATTTTTTTAATGTACTGTTTTCATTTGATTCTAGTATTTTATTGAGAATTTCTGCATCCATGTTCATCAGGGATATTGGCCTGTATTCTTTTTTAGTGAAGTCTTGTCTGGTTTTGGTATCAGGGTAATGCTGGCATCAT